TTGTACCGAGATTCACGAAAGAATGTTGGACGCACGGCAAATGTGACAATGTTATCTTGATGACTTGAGATAGTTTTGTATACCAGATAAATATATTATTTATTATCCCGAGAACTCGTTGGGAATTTGAGATTCCAACTCGCGCAAAATCGTCCTGGCGTCGTTGATGCATATTACGAGGCTCACTCTCTAGCACCACGGCTCTCCGGGAAAGCAGGCAGGGACATACGACGCAACAGGCTGTCCGAAACTCAGATTAAAATATGGCTGGACACGACTCGCTAGTAGAACTTAGTAAGATACGGGGATAGCTAATTTTGGCAAGCACTGGGGCGAAGATCAGTACCCTTTTTAATGTCATCGTCGGAATCTGAGCTTTGCAAAGTCAAGCATCAAGTGACGTTTTTATCGGGCGTCTGTTTCGTTGAATTTGTCTTGATAAAAGGACCCTGGTTCCGGGCTAAAGGGATTGCCTTTGAAGCCAGTCGTTGTACGTTAATCTATCTGAGCAGTCCTATCGACTGTGATGCTGTGATTGTCGCCTCGAAGTTCTGATGCAGTCGCTCCTCAACGTGATCGAGCGTTGAAAGCTGGTGCCACCAGGTCTCAACCTGATGTAAAGCGTATCGCTCCACTTTGCTAATCGTGATCGAGTAGATCGGCCTCATAAAGACCAGTCCAAGTTACACGCTGCTTATTCGTACTGCATTTGACGCAAATTTGCTTCAACTTCAAATCAAAAATATGAATGCCAGGCTTCATTCAATCCAGCTCGTTCTCATTGAATTTGCGATTCGTGGGTCGATGTTGGCGCAAATTGAGTATAGTATGGTTGCTTTTCACCTGGCTTCATATGTCGCGCACGACCAACCCCGCCCCCACATACTTCAATGCGGGGAACTGAGGTTACTGATGCATTGAACCTTGCAGTGTCTGCCACTCCGGTTATAAAGCGTGTCTTTCTTCCTTGTGTGCTTGCTGCGTATTTGCTTGTCTCAAGGCGCAGCATAGAGCATATATATGCATCGGCCCGATGGCGAGCGCAAAGCATGACATTCTGGAATCCATCGCGCCTATCGCCTTTTCATCTTTGTCGTGCAATAGCTCTAAGCCATCCATCTACGCGCGCTTAAAGATCGATGGGGTATTCATCATCTCCGAAATGACATGGTCGCTTCTTTCGCGAGCCATCGGTCCGCCTCAAATGATTGCTGGAGCTGCCGAAGTCATTTTGTGGCTGTCGTCGATGCTGACAGGATTTAGCGTGCTCGTAGCGCTATCAAAGGCAATCGTTGAGCTTATTGATTGCTGGAACAGAGGTGAGTTCGCAACCGCTGTCATGCTTGTAATCCCTTACGTCATGTACATACATTCAAAGATGCGATAGCGTACATTTCATCTCCGTCTACAACAGTTTGTATGCAGACAGTCGACTGAATGCGTACATCGTGTTGAGTCTCAACTACGAGCTTGTGTTGATTTGCACAAATTCTTGAGGGGCACTTCATTTACGATTTTTGTGGGTCTGATAAACAATATGGAATTCGGTATATTATATACAATGGTGTCATAGTGGGCACAAACGCCTTTTCAGAAGCATCTTTAGCGAAATGATGTAGTAAGCCACTTGGACGTCTTTCTATCCTATTTTATAAAAAGGTACTGAAGAGTTAAAAGCTGTTTGATTAACCGTAGAAATGGGACCAAAGAAGACCAAAGGTAAGAAGGAGAAGAAAATGAAGGGCGGTGCGAGCAAGAAAGAAGTGGTCGAAGTGAAAGACGCTGACCAAGCGAACGAGGCAGGTCGACTGGAACTAGTAAAGCAGGCAAAGCTTCTACAAGAACTCACACGAAAGGAGGAGCAGGCTTTTAATGAGTTCCAGCAACAAAGAGAAAAGATTAATTATTTTTGGATCGTGGAAAAGAAAAGTTTTGAAGACCGAAAGGCAGAGTTGCGTAATAAAGAGCGAGAAAGACAAGATTTGAAGGAAAAGCATCAGGATGAAATAAAGGTGATATCTAGCTGCGATTGAACTAAATTATGCACGTCACTGTAGAACTGATTCCTTGCTTCACTAGATCTACAAGCAACGGGTGCGACACTTGCTCTATGAACACCAAAATGAGATCACTGAGCTCAAGAAAGGTGCGCGTTTGCGTAATTTGTGCAAAAGTATGCACTTGCTCTTACCTATGTGGCGTTTAGAATTGGAGCAGTCACTTAAAATAACGCAAAGTGATAACCGCGGTAATGAGCGCGAGCTGACGAGTGACAAACGGCGACTGAAAGTTGATTTTAAAGAAAGTGAGTTGTCGCATCAAGATTACCTCAAATCATTGAAGCAGATGCAAGATCGGCGTATTTCGGTGTTGCGTCAAGAGTTCGAGCGACATGCAAAAGAGCTGCAGCAAAAGTATGAACGCAAAAGTAAGACTATTCGTGACGACATAGAGGCACGTGGAAAGCAAGACATACAAAAGATTGAAGAGCGTAAGAATGTTCATATCGCACAGCTTATAACTGCCCATGAGAAAGCATTTAGCGAGATCAAGAACTACTACAACGACATAACACATAACAATCTGGATCTAATAAAATCCTTAAAGGAAGAAGTAAGCGAAATGAAAAAGAAGGAAGCTCAAGACGAAAAGCTCATGTATGAGATTTCCCAAGAAAACAAGCGAATGTCGGAGCCGTTAAAGCGAGCTTTGTTGGATGTCGAAAAGCTTCGAAAAAACATTTGCATTTATCAAGAAGAAAAATTGGAGCTGCGTTCTGCGAAGACGCAATTGCTCGTCCTTGAACAACAGTACGCCACCCTTTCCTGGGAGTTTGAAGTTCTGCAGCAGCGCGCAGGGCAAGTAGCTCATGAGTTACAAGAGCTTACGACACACTTTCAAGGCAGCATTTACGATGTACAGCAGAAGGCTGGTTTAAAGAATTTGCTGCTTGAAAAACGAATGAGTGTACTTACTCTGCAACTTGAACAAAAGGACGCCGAGCTCAATGAGGTCTTACTGCATGCCAAACTCGATCCAGCAATAATAGATCGTGTCAAAGGACAGCTTGAGGACATAATGAACAGCAAAGCTGAAAACCTTCGAGAACTAGAAGAGGAGTTGGCTCATGTCACCAAATTACAGCAAGAACTTGCCAACTCCATGCAGCGTAAATTGAGCGAATACGGAATTCCACTAAACGAACTAGGATTCATGCTTCAGACACAAGTTGCAATTAATCAACGTGTAAAATCTTCACAGAACAACCAGAACAACGACAGCTCTGGCAACGGGGTACCATTATTGCTGAGTATCTCGACTAAGGAAAAGCGTATGGCACGGATGCGAGCTACGACAAATCAGGTCGTTTCGGCCTCTTTATGAAAATTGACAACTGGCCTTTGGACTCGGCGCAGTGAGGCTCCTGAGCGCTGGTGTATCCTCCATCTAAGGTGAGGAATTGACTGCACACAGATTTAATGATACCCGCACCTTATTCAGGATGACAATTGGAGACTACTTTGATTCAGTAGTTCAAGTGTTTGTACGGCTGTCGCACAAACACTTGAACTACTGGACATCATTGGTCTTCTTGATGCCCTTCAGTCGACTGCCAATCGTGTTGGGAGCACCAGGTAGCATAATTTTAGGACACGTTCATCTAGATAATCCAGCTTAATCATCATATCGCGCTCAAACTTTGTGAGCTGGGCATTCAATTGCCGCACCGTATTGATAGTTGCCTGTAACGGGGCGATTGGAACACTTGCAACCTGCAATTTTCCATGTGCAGCAGCATGCATGCATGAGTTCATGTTGATAGAGAACGGGACCGAAGAAACCGGTACTGCCGCGTTCATGGGACTGATTACAGCATGCATTGAGTCTGAATAATGTCCCGCGTCTGCACTGGTCGTTGAAATCGTTGCTTCGGGCTTCGAGGTCTGCGAATACGTAGCAACCATATCTCCAGGTCGTATCATGTCCATCGTTGGAGCAAACTTCTCTGGTAGCTGCCGCAATTCCTCTTCCGTCAGAAATTTTATGCCGTGTGCTTTCTTAAACTGCTTGAGCCAATTCTTTGCAGCTTTGAGTGAAACGTGTGAGTCGTCGGGTGAATACTGCGCAAAAAGATCCGTCGTTTTGGTAGTAAGAGACTCCGCTGAGACGTTACGACCAAGTTTTCGCTGTCGGATGAGCCACCGATACAACTCCTGCTCCACCCCTGGATGGTATTCGGATGTGGTCTTCAGTGTCTTGCGTTTAAGTGTTGACATGTGCTTGGCATCGATACAAAAAGCTACGATTCGATCACGATTTTTTCGTATATCCGACACCTGTTGACGGCTGATGCCAAAAATGCGAGCGATGGCTACAGGCTGCTCGCCATCATCGAGTCGTTGTAGAACCTGCTGTTTGTCGTGGATGGAGAGCACCACGCGCTTGCGCTTTAAACCGGTGGTGGCATTAGGACAAGGAGGAACTGAAGGAAGTTCTGTAACACCTAATGTTAGAGCATCGTCGGTAACATCTGACGGGGGAAGGTCGTGGAGGTTGTTCATAACGGCGTTGTTAGTAGTATTGTCTTGCGTGGACCACAAGTCAGTATGATATATACATTATAGCGTCTGATTAAAGTATGAGCTCTAAAGATGGCGCTCGTACGTCCGCCGAGACGCTGGCATCCAACAGCACTGATAGTACGTAGTTTCATCGTTGAAGTTACAATGACTTATCTGATAATCTTATCAACTTTTCTGCAAGTCGTGTCGGACTTGCTTTTGCTTGAGAAGGAGCGAACGGCCAAAGAAGAGGCCATTCAAACTATGAGCAAAGGTGTTAGTCTATCTTTCACGTGTGCAATGCTATGCACTTTTCGGCGAAATCTCGCGGCAAATTAAATACTTTTATCTGTATGTTGCAGCGCTCCTTGAGGAAACGCTGACGCGGCTGAGGAGCAAAGCTCAACAGCTTCAGGACAATAAATGGATGTCAGTATCAATTTTGAAAGCCACAAAATCAGTCATTGAGCTTTTGTATTGATTAGGTTTACCTGACTGCATTTGGAGATAATAAGTCAAGAAAAGATGGCAGAGGTTTATCAGTGCAAGAGTACGACTTTGCATACCAGTTATGAATTGATAAACATCGACAGCATCAATAATGGCTAACCAGCTGGCCTTGCTAACAGGGAGTCCAAAATCGATGTTGTCACTGAAGTCCGGGGAGCCCTGGTCGATCCATATTTTTTACTACTTAGGCTTCTGGATCAATATCTAAATTCTTGATAATAAATGCTTTAATCCAGCAATATCTTGGGGACGACCTCGCTAAAATAGGTCAGCACATCTAAGGCTAGACGATGGCAGTGGTTTGTCATCGGCTGAACATGCTGCCAGTTAGAGAAGCATGCACAAGCCTAACGATAGACCTTAAAATTTCCCTGTTATACTTCGTCGGTTGCTGATACGGGGTTACACATACCCTGGTAACATGGATGTGTGTCACACGAGATGGACATGGTGTGACAACACCCGAACAAGAATACGGTATGTGGCTAGGTAGTCCGTACTTATGCCTGTATTTAGATTTTACTTTAGATATTTAGGGAAGTCTAAACATTTAGAATTAGACGGCTTTGCCGCAGATAAAAATAAATAAAATCAGTTTTAAATTGAACGGAAGAGTAATTAGCCTTGGGTCAAGGCAATAATTACTCTTGGAGTAAGCGGATTGCGATCTGCTAACTCGTACTTGTTCTAGATATAGAACGAAGATCGGTGACCTAAATTACGCTTCCTCTAAGCGCAACACTACAGCAGCCCCGCTGCACTTGATAGTACTTGTAGTAATTGAGACTGATCCTCTGTGAAGGTGGAAGAATTTTTCTCTTCACCCCAGGGCATGCAGGACGGGCTTAACAAGCCGATGATCTTGCTTGGTCCTGAGAGCGTGCAACACCTTGTGGCGCAAGCCTCGAGGCAATCGGTGCGCGTCTAGAGGCGTTTTCAAATTACGAAAACGCGCTGCTAGAG